AGACATTAGCTGTGACGAAGACCGCTTTGGACCAGCGTTCAGGGACGTCGTAATGGTCTATGGTACCTCGACGACCTCGTTGAGCTCGTACCGTGAACCATGTTTCCGTGGGAAAATCTTCTGATGTCGTCCGTGAAGAAGGCTGTTATGTGATTTATAGATAGATTAAAATGTGCTCTTTAACACATTGGCCCCTGGACTAAAACCTGTTCCGACTCCAAAATCAGTTGAAATTTTTAAGCTACCAGCTGAATAGATTTCTTGATCGGATATTATGTACTAGCTGAGAATTTCAGTTTCGAAGCCACGCATAATTGTCGAAGCTGTAGGTGCTGTTTTTGTAACTACAAAAAAGCCACTGAAGCAGTTAATGTCGTTTGGTGGTATGTTCGATAAATTCGAACAAATGTATGTTCACAAGTCACCGAAGACTGTTTGAAGGGCAGTTTAACGCTGATGCGCCTACCCGGAATGCTCGAATGCCAAATGTGGAAGTTTCGGTATTCACCTCCGAGATGCACCCAGTTATCAATAAGTTGGACAAATTTTCATTTTCAGGTGGTTTTTGACTGAAACGCTTATATCAAATAATGTCGGAGAAACAATGTACATTAGCAGAGGCAAACAAAGAGGATGTGCACGAAAAGATTGGGCCGAATCAAGAGCGTAGCATGGTTATAACAAAACACGTTCAAGTAGTTATTAGAGGACTGTCACATTGTCTTCTTGTGTTTTTGCCACGTTCTGTTTGAACGAAACATGAGGTGATCGAGAGAAAACCATTGCATGTTCTGCATTATCATTCACAAAGCTGTATGATGAGTGACTGCAGCATGACGTTGAAAAACGGACGACAGCCATAAAGCGAGAACGAAAATGCCGGCAACACATGATGTAGACGATCGGATTCAGTGACGAGCTAAATTTTGCGGAATATCAAAGGGTTCTCAAAAAACTCTCGGATAAATGTTTATTTCCGAAAGCTGGAGCGTGGAATGTGGATAGGCGGCATGTAAAGGCCAGGAGCAAATTGACTGTCCTATGTCCCAAAGGGTTGCAAAATTGAGCATTAATGTCTGGTGTTGTCTCATGAGGAGATGCAGAGGAGCGAAAGGATTAGATGTCGCAACACCGGGATTAAGAAGCTTCTTTGTTCTTAGTAGACAGGAGGACATTTGCGGCTTGCAAGTGCGCGACAAGGCACTGTAGATAGTTTGTTCAATCTTCATCCATACCATCGTCCGCAAGCGTAGCCTTCCGCTGTCGGCCACCACGTTGGCGCTGCGAGAAGGCTTCATGGAATGACTCACCAGCGGCGCGGACGCGAGCGCGTGCGGGCGACGTCACTTTTACGTGAGAGATCGAGCAAGGACAGGCACCAATACTTCAATAAATACGTATTATGTACTCTATCGCACTTTAACTTCACTGTGTATCGAGTAGAAGTAACGACGGAAAATGGACTCATCAGGAATGTGTAGGACTCCTTGTG